TGCTCTGGATTCTAATCGATAACAATACTGTTTGAATTTGAGTTTTGATTGATGCCAATTCTAAATGAATCGATCACAAGTTCTGTTGTCAGCAGTCAGCACCTGTTAGTAGCTTTGGTTTTGTCAACCTGTGCTTCGTGCAGCAGAGTTATTTAATGGCATGAGGATAACATTGATGCTCGGTATGAACAGCCTGCTTTTGGCACTCATTAGCACAACATGCTAATCACATACTCGGAAGGTGAAGTAATCACTCATTACACTTTCATGTTTTCATTTAATTGAAACCTTTTGTGAATGAGAGTGCTGAAGGTACTGTCCAGTTTTTTTAAAATGGATAAGTCTAAGCTCCCAGAGTTTTGTAATGAGGTTCTGCAGAGGGCTACTTGGGTTACCTGACAGTCCAGCCGCCCTCATCTTCTCACGTGAAGTTGAAAGGCAGCTGCATGTCACTTCCATATTACTGCTGTAATGTGACTGGTTTCTCAAATTGCCACAGACAGATCGTTCAATTGTCAGTGGTGAGGGGAACAGTCCATCAACTAGTCTGAGGTTGTGGTCTATGCCCAGAAAGTTTGGGAAGACTAACGATTACTCACTAGCCAGTTCATTACAACTCCCAAGGCACTGAATATGATGAACTCATCATGTCAAGTTACTGGACTGTGCTTGAGATTCCAGACATAACTGGCTTGGTTTGAAAGACTCTGAAGTCACGTGAAAAAATGACAAGTAACTAATCAAGAAGACAAGGAAGAGAATGTCTAGTTCAAGTGTACAGCATCTAGTTCTGGTACAACAGTCTAAATTATGGTACTCACACTGAGCCTCATCTCACCATTGCTCCAGCTCTGATGGCTACAGCTGTTTGTTGGGAAAGTGATGGTGGCCAGAGTAAGAGTTTGAGATTCTGACATACCCTGATGCTTGGAAAGAATCCAAACAATTCTTGCTTGATTTTGAACGTGGCTGCTGTTGGTGGGCCTATCCTTTTCTTGTTAAGCTTTCTGTGCTAGCAGGTCATTGTTGTGAATACATGACTGTCCTAACTCTTGCTTTGTTTTATCTTAGTCACATTGATCAAACAACAACGTGGCAAGATCCTAGGAAGGCCATGCTTTCCCAGATGAACGTTACAGCTCCCACCAGTCCTTCGGTGCAGCAGAACATCATGAACTCAGCATCAGGTAAGCAAAATTTGTATTTATGAAAGAAACCATACAAAATGAAGATCCTACTAGCTCTTTTAATTGGTGAGGAGGGAGCCCAGATCTCCTAATTGTCCTTCTAGTTGCATCAAACAGGAGGCTGATACAAGAGGTAAGAGAATTTGTGTAATGTTTGTCATGTCAGCAGAAGGTACCCTGTAGTTCTTTGGTTTGTGTTTTTAGTTTTTCAAATGGATGATCCAAACATTCAAGAAGCACAGTTTTTGTCCAGTTTCTTCTGACTGAAAACGCTGTTAAACTGATGGAAGACCAGAATTTCCACTAAGTTTGTGTCAATTTACGTTAAAGTGTTGTGCTTCTGCAGTGTTCTTCTGCCTCCTTTTGTTCATTTGCTAGGTTTGGTATACTCTCATTCATTTACATTTCCTATGTTTGTAATAAACATCTATTTTTTTTCTCCTGTCTTCTCTAAATGAATAAAGCAAACACCTGGAAATTCTTTTTGAGAAGCAGAGATGTTCAAGTTTCCTTGTTGTGTGTGTTTGTTTTTTTTTTTTATTTTTTTGTTTTTTTCCCTAATCACTTCCAAAACCCAGTTATCATGATTATTGATGTAGCTGAGGAAGTATGGTATCTTTTCCTGGAACACAGAATTGTTTTTCAGCTGGTCAGGGTGAGGTTGTCCCTAGAGAGCCCCAAAATCTCCTTGTTCTTGCTATAGAATCTGCTGTATGTTTTCAGAGCTGTCATGTCCTGATGACGCAGAGAGCAAGCAGATAAATTTGGTGCCATGCTAGTTTGACTGCTGTGCTTTTCCCTGTGCTTTGTCACCTTCTGTCTGTCACTGAGGTTCATGTTTCATTTTTCTCACAGTCTGATTGTATTTTGTATATGTCTGCTGTTCCTGTATTTCACAGAGGTTATTCTCTGGTGCTGCTTTTTGTTGTCCCTTTAGACAGCTTTGTTTCATGCTGCAATTCTTATTCTGCAGACAATACCGAAAGATTAACAGGCGTGACCAAACTGTGCTGTTCATGACTGGGTATTAGAGGGGAGGCTAATCAAACTTTTTGCTGGCTACACCAGGAGGCTGGGTTATCCTGAAACAGATGAGAGTCCTGTTTCAAGTTCAGGAAGTCACAATTCAGAGCAATTAAGACTTCAGACCCTGATTTGAAAATATAATATCTGTGATTACTTTTACTGTAAATATATTGCAGGAAACCTACAGCAGTAGAGATGACATGTTCTTGCAGGGACACTTGAAAAACACCGAGTAGAAGAAAGGAAGTAATTCCTTTGGTCTGTCTTGCCTTTTGGATTGCTTTATTTGTGCTAAAACTAGATGCTTGCTCTCTGAATATTGACAGAAATTTTGTCTTTTAAGATAACTCCTCAAACCTTCTGATGTACCAAGAATTAACAGGAAAAAATACTGATAGTGAGGTAGGATTAGTTTTATGCAGTTAAAAAAGATACAAAGGGTCCTTAGGCAAAAATATAACTGGCTAGTTGAAGGGGGTAAAGAATTGAGACTATCAATCAGTACATGAGCGTTATTTTTAAAAGAAAATCAGGAGTGTACAATGACTGATGCAAGCCTGTGAGCAAGTGATTCTGCGCAGATACTGTTGCTCATGCATTAAGGAAGAAACATTTTAAAGGAGTTGTCTTGTAACTTTGAGAAAGCACTTATTTAAATACAAGTTCATTGAACATTTAATTTCACAGATGTTACTCTATTGGATATGAACTGAAAATACTGTAAAGTTGGTTTTTTTTTTTTTTTTTCCACAGCACTCTGTATTTGATAAAGTGCGTGAAGAAATCAGAACTTCTATGTATATTGAATTATGTGTTTACATGGCATTGCTTTTTTTAAGCTTAGATCAGTTGAGGTAGTGTGAGTTGGAACGGGCTCTTCGGATGCACCTGCTTACCTTTGACTTCCTTGCATTTAACAAAAGTGCTTCAAATTAAATAATTCTGAACCTGCATTTATCGGATAAGATTCTGTTTCTGATACCTGATTTGGCAAATCTATCTCTACTAACTTTAAACTAGGACTGTATATTTGTTTTTATCAAAGTCTCATATATCTGATTCTGTTACTTTTTACTACTGAGTGTGTGGTAACTTATGCTTCCTTGGTGGCCTCATAAAGAATCTTTGAGAGACATGGAAAAATCAAGTAACCATGTAACACTTCAGCACACTGGAACTTAAATCTGAGTGCTAACGTCATAAATGCGACTATTTAATGTTCTAATTTGGATATTCATCCTCAAGAACTGGGAAATAAAGTTGAGACCTTTAAGATGAAAGCTTCCTGTTACAAAATATTGCTGGCAATGAAACATGCTCTAGTGCTTTGAGAAACTTTCATGAAAGATACTGGGAAAAACCAAGTGTAAGTATTGTGACAGTTGGAGGTCACTGACTTGCAAAAATTTCTGAAATGCCACAAGGGAGAATATTTTCCTTGCTGTACAGTTCACCCTTGTATAGCATGCACTAATTGTAGCCTTTAATCAGAAGTTACTGTCCCAGTTTTCGTGTATTTAATTACAGACTGCCATAGAAGCTTGTGAGTAAAGTTGCTGTGGTAAAGCCTAAAAGAGGAGATGTTTGGAGCTGTCTTGAAAGCCATGAGAGGCTTTAGCAGTTTTGCCAGAATTAGAATTCTAGCCATTAGCTAGAATAAGGAACAGGAAAACAAACTGCAGAGAGAGAGAGAGAGAAGAGAACTCTGAACACTGCTTTCAGCATATTGAAGTTAAACCTGGTTTTTTTTCTAGATAACAATAATAAGTAGAGCACGGGGAAAATGGGAAGAAATCAAAACTAGACAGTATGCTAGGAGTGAAGGCAATGATTTTGTGAATGAGCTGTTTTAAGAGTGTTAGCATGGAGGTCATCAGTAAATGAAGGTTTTTTTCCTACTCATTTTGGTTCTCTGATATTGTCTTCGTCTTGCTGAGCTTAGATTTCTACATGTAATCAGCTAAGATGGTTTGGAACATATGTATACAGAGAAACAGTGCTCTTTTAGGTGACACTTGTTGAATCTTTTGTGAAATAGGATTGCATCTTCACATCAATAATGGAAAGAAGACAAGATTGTTGCTTTTTTATACAACTTATATATAAAAATCAGTCTTGACTGTTCTGATTTTGTGTGTATGTTACTAACCATTTTTTCCCTAAAGGTGTTACAAGAGAAACTATGTTCTGTCTCGACTGAAAACAAAACAAAACAAAAACACAACAACAAAAGAAAAACAAACAAACAGTGTGTTGTTCTGAAGAACATCCATACAGTTCTTACTGAAGTTATAATTTTGAAAGTAAACAATGTCTGTTTCTTACAGGGTTACAGTTGATAGAACAGAGATGGGACAGTCATTGTATTTATATACTTCATTCTTCAGATCCTTTTACTTCCTGAGTCACGCCTGACAGCACTGCTTACTTTAGCCTCTTCTGCTTGTGCGTAGACATCAGATAATTAGCTTTGGAGCAGATTACCTGGCTTTGTCCTCTCTTGTCTTCCCTCTTACACTGCAGTTTTGAATTGGGCTTCCTGGTGGGAATTTGTAGAGCTAGTGTAATTCCAGTACCTCTTAGGGTAAGGCTGTAGTGCCATGTTAAATGTGGGCAGGAAAATGGCCACTCAAGTTCATTCACTTGTGAGGGTATTTTTTCCCCTTGGGAGGCAGGTGGGTAGGGAGTAACATGCCAATAACTAAAACAAGTTCTAGCTTTTCTCTTAGATTCTTGCTCACTTCAGTGGCAAATTTCTCCTCTATGTACCCAGTCATACTGCAAATTCTGCTTTGTCTACAGTCAACACTACATATAATCTGTTGTGAAACTCGAGTTTAAAAGTATCTGCATGACAGTAATGTTTATTTCTTTCTTCGTCTGCAAAAAATACCCCTTTTTGAAAGGTGTCTCTTTGTAGCTTTCACAGATTTGGCAGAATAAAGGTGGACTATAGGTAAATTCTGTAGACTTCAATATCATTCTTTAAAGTTTTGAAATCACAGTGACAGTGATTTAAGGGAAACATTTCAGTTTTCACAGAAAAAGATTAGGAAGGTTCTTGGAGTTAAGTGAAGATCAAGTGTGGATGATTCCTG